AGATTCTATCTTTATGTGTAACTTTTTTGAATGGTTTGAAAACTGTAGCATTTACTTTCAATTTTTTATTGCAATACAAAAAAGACGAAAATAAATGTAAAACATTTATGATTAAAAAAAACATAGTTGGAAAAAGTTCTTGCATTACTATTGTGTCTTTATTTTAATTGTTTTTTTTTGTTATCTTTTTATGAATCGTGTAAAACTGCGTTTATTTGCTGCTCCCTATAAACGTTGCAATTTTTTACTTTAATTAAAGCAGGAAAAGCACTGTGTAAATACACCAGCAACCTTTCGTCCATATTTATTCCTCCTATGTAAAGCTCGCAATCCTTTGCCTCAACTAACAAAAAGAACTTAAATATATTTCCATGCAAACCGATCTAAAAATATCCCGAATCCCGACCATCTGCCATACTTAATTGAAAATTTATGTTAATGTCGAGATCAGCTCTAAATTGCTTATAATTATCTTGAGTCATAAAGAGTTATAGTCTCTGTGATCCCCCTATCAATAACAGTTTAATTAAGAAAGCTTGACACGGGAAACTATGCACACATAAAGCCCTATTGTTCAAGTGTAAAGCTGTCAGGCCTATAGTCAATTTAAAGGCCGATCGATGTCATATATGCAGAACGCAATTAGCGTGCGAAAATCACCTCTAAACAGCTTTTCTTTGACGATGAGTCGACCAGAAAGACGCGATTAAGCGTGAAAACCCCCTACAAGTATTAAAATACAACAAGTTGTAAGTATGGAAAATCAATCATTTTCTAATTAGTTGCGAACTTTTCCCATTTTTCTAATAGAAGTTTAATAACAAAAACAAAGCGAAAAATTACAAATGGTATTTCGGTTATTTTATTGTACTCACGAACGGACTTGGCATCCGGTTTATAAATGACCTGCATTTATTTTAGATTAGTTTTCCAGACGCTATCTTCGATATCAATCAAATTAATTGCACGAAAACGAAATAAATAGACTCAAACGCAAAATACACTGAAAGACAAAGATGCGCTAATATGAAATTTCATTTGCTAAACAATGAGAGAAAATAACAGACCAAACACTTTTTTCTTGAGAGATTAAAAAGATTTTTGAAACCTCAAGTAATTGATTGCGAATATTATCTTCAAATCTTTATAAATTATTCAACATTTAAACAATTCAACGTCAAGATCTTACAACACCCTCATATTTTCAAACTAATGTGTTTTGAGCAAAAAATAAGTACTTATATTAATCATTATCATTTTATTTTAATTTCTGGACAATTAAAAAAAATATGGTATTCTAAACGTTACATCAAAGTTTTAGATTGATCTCAAGATCTTTATTTTGTTTTTAAGATTGTTTCCTATTTTTTTTATCTTTTCCAGTTTATTTCACCACTTTTGATTTTTTTGAATCTATAAGTTTTTTCAAAATATTGATTTTAAGATCTTAAAATTTCAAGTGCTAATAAATAGAATAAATAATTATAAAT